GACGAGGGGAGGGGAGGAGACGGCGGTGAGGGGCGGCGGGAGCCGTGGGTGGTGGCGGCCAGGTTAGGGGCAGCAGCATTAGCAGCGGCGGCTGCAGCGATGACAGCAGCGTCAGCGGCAACGGCTGCAGCGGCATGTGCACATGAAGCGCCGCAGCGGCGCCACACCTTTGTGAGACTTTGCGGGGTTGGCTGTGGCGGCCGGCGTGTCGCTGCCATCGCCGCTGCTGCTGGTGAAGTCTGCAACATTGTGGTTCCCGCTGGCGGCCTCTCCACTTTCGTCAATGTGATTGGAGCTGCTGGTTGACGGCAGTGCTGACGCGGCGGCCTGCACGCCCCGGGCGCCGACTATGCGCAACTCAAGCAGCTGCTGCAGGGCGCCGCTGAGGACGCTGTGGCCGCCGCCGAATCTCCAGCATGACGCCTGGAGAGCAGCTAGGGCGCTTTGAGTGATACCCGAGAAACCAATCATCTGCTGCAGTCGCGATGGCATTATCGTGTAACATAGCATGTCTTGTCTACGAACCACGATCTACTTCGCTGCACGCTCCACAGGCAACCACAAAGCAAAAGCGTTACTATCAAATTTGTTATAGACAGCGAGTGCGGAGGAGCGCTCGCACAGGAGACTGACAAGTGACAAAAAAGTCAGCCAGCGGTCTACCTGATGGTGCTGCTGTCGAGTTCACGAGGCGCGGGGGCGCTGCTGGTGCGCGAGCTGGTTAGCCCGTGTACAACCGGCTGACCTGGGCCTGGTGGATACGGGGCGCAGTCACCTTGCATTCACGGGGGCCGTGGCGGCCGACGCCAGGGACAAAAAAAGTCTCGCAACGCGGGCAGAGCTGCTGGTGCGGTTTCCACCGTGGTGACGCGCCTGCACCTTCCCGGAGAGCGGCTAAATCTTGCATCGGCAGGGCGATGCGGCAGTTTGGGCCCGGCTAGCAGCCTCCACGACTGGCTCCCTGCTGGCCATTCTGCAAACGGTCATCCGTGGCGCCCTAGACCTTCACCTGCCGCCGATTTGGTACAACCATGTAGATTCTGGATTGCGACGACGCCCTGGGACCGTCATTGAGTGGGGAAGAGCGCAACAGTCAAAACTGCTCAGGAGACTGCTCATTGCAACCGTCGAATACAATTCTGGTGCAACCTGCAGGCGGAGGTTTGACACAAAACGATCAGGAGCGCACAGCCCACGCCCCAACCGGCACCAGCAGCGGATGCCTGCTATTGCACAGCCTCTGCTGCTGTGCACCCACAACTCAAGCCCTGCATTGGCGAGCTTGGCTCAGCGGCCCTGCGACAATCCTGGTGAAGCGACAATCCTTGCTCAAAAGGGGCTGTTGAACCTGACACAGGCAGAAGCCTTTGACTCAGCAGCACCCATGGTTGCTACGCTGAGTCATTTTAGCAATGAGCGGGGCAGCGGCAAGCTCTGGCAGGAGAGTGGGCGGAGGCTGCATCAGCGGGCACGAAACCACTGCTTGGTGATGACTGGGCCATCCAGGACATCCACAAAACGCACATGACCATACATGGGTACATATCCCAAAGCAGGTATTGTCGCCGCAGGCAACGATTATTGCAAAGCTACAGCACCATGCACATGCAAGGCGTGTCCGTGCATGCAAGGCGTGTCCCTGCACACATTTCATGCCTTGAACGCCTTCTCCGCCGCTGCAGTAGCGGAGCGGCAATGCTGCCCTGCATCGAGCAACTGGGGAACAGAGAAAGCCTCGCCTAGTTACTGCTGCATTGCTAATACCTGTGACAGCCTCGACGAGGCCGCCTCGCAACCCTTGGTGGTCCATTGGCAGAAACATCTGGAATGTGAGTGCACTGCAGAGACCCCCCCCCCCCCGCCCCCCGGGCCCACTCATGTGGCCGTTGCAGCCGTTTGATACGTCTGTAGCAGCTGATAGACCTAGAGAGTGCAGCATTTGGCACTCTACCAGTTCGGGGGAGGGGGGGCGACACAACATGCACTAGATGTGGCGGACTATCAACCCCTCGTTCAAGCTTGAGTCAGGACCCATCCTTTCAGGTACGTATCGGGCAACGTAAGTCAAGCATGCGCACATGCATGCTCACGCGGAGAAGTATCCGGCTCAACACGTCACTCGAGTTCCCCTGCAAGTCATCATGCATGTATGGCCCAGGCAGCAGGCGGCCCGGGCAGCCAAGTCTTATTGCAGTCCCTTACCTTGTCACTGTTTTTTTCCTCTGTGCAGCCGTGCTATTCACCCGTACTGGGCACAAGTGCTTTGGCGGAGCGAAGTGCCGCGCATAGCCGCGTGGCGGTGGCCTGTGTGATCCTGGTCGGGAGGCGGCCGTTCCGGGGGCGTGGCCTGGCCGCGGCAGATCGTTGTGTGGAGCGGATCG